TCCCGTGTGATTTTCTCTAACCGAGGTTTAGCAATAATCAGCCATGTTTCGCTTATTCCCATAAAAACACTCTGGTCACAAAACTGTGTGATATATCTGTGCAGTGTTGTGTGAATTTGGTCTACACGTATCCTAACGACCCAGCTGTGCTACCAAGCGACCGACAGATCCTATTTACATTGCTTGGGATCCTGTGTAATCATTCATCATTCATCTTAACTGAAACCAGGAGAAAGGATCAAACGAATTAACTGCAGCTCTGCATAGATTGCCCACCTTCCATACAATCTTTATTTTGTCTCCATAATTTGTCCCAGTCTCTTCGGTAAGAATACACGGACTGTTCCCGACTGACGCTTAAGCCGAATTTGGTTTCATACTCTTTGTTGCACAGATTTTCTCAGGAGAACAGAGATTTGGTCATTGGCAACCCAATACGTGTCAGAACTGAACATCAATTAGACTGCATTGCAGTGCTGATGAAAAACCAAATATTGCATTTTGAGCTCTTCAAGTTTAAGAATCCACGGTTTACTTGTCTTATCACAAATTCCCTGATTCTGTTCTCATTCGCGCAGGTTGAACTGTTTGCCGGTCCCCGAATGCTAGGCCTCGGGGACAGTCTGAACATGAGACTGAATCCTGCGCCCAATCTGTCTCATGAATATGGCGATTTGCAATGCACTGTGGAGCTGGTGGACAATGTGAATGAGGCAATTGAATTCATCGCGCACCACGGCAGCGCGCACACCGAATCCATTGTGACGGAAGACGGTAAGCGTGGGTGGGCTCAGTGAACAGCTTCCCGAATTGTTTGCGTTCTCGAGTCGGACACTGTTTCATGAATGAACTATTCAGAATCAGGTTTCGGTAACGCAGTATCAGAATAAGCTGCTTCAGCACTCACCAGAAAATAATAATAATAAAAATAACTTCACTGGACTGATGAAAGTATTTTTATTTATGTGTTGAATTTTTATTGTAAATGAGGCGTGAGCTGAAAAGCTAGGAAGCACTGGACACCTGTTTCGACCTGGATGGGTCTCATCAGCGGTACGAATCCATCGACCCAACTGGGCGATCGAACCCGGAACTTCACGGGAAAAACACAAGCATTCTACTCATTCGGCTGTCCAGTGCTTCCTAGCTTTTCAGTTCACTCTTAATCTCTGTAGACAATAAATTCCCATTTGAAGTTATAGACCTGACGAAAAATTTATCATTTGAGAAAACACTTACAATTCCCTATGAATTCACGCTACTTTGAATAATCCACTAGAACCATTAGCTTGAAAGGGAGGTGGATGAAATTCGAAGGCCATAATCGAGTAACTGATTCCCGGGTGTCCTTTAAGTTTTCCGAAACCGGACAATATTTTTCTCACCGACCGACTGGTCCTGTATTTGTATTTAAATTTAATTCAACGATTTGCTTTTTTGTTGGGTGTAGACGTGTCATCGAATATTTCACTCGTTTATTGTAAACATTGAAGTTGCCCAACTGCAACCATTAAAGGAACAAAAATTTGTTCTCACCAAAATTGAAGATATCTTTTCTGCACACTGTTGAGATAGACTCTTACATTTGGGGTATTCTCAATTTGACCAAATTGTGTCGTTTTTTTGCTAAGTACGCAGGATAACTTTCGATTTATCAAATAAAAAATTCCTCCCCCATTTTTTTGCAATTACAGTGAAAACGGCTGAAGAATTTCTTCAGAAAGTTGACAGTGCATGCGTGTTTCATAATGCCAGTACACGATTCGCAGACGGATACCGGTTTGGACTTGGTAAGCTCATCCCTTTCTTCAGCCATAATATTCTTTGCTACTGATGGCATTCGTCAGTAGGCAAACACATAACGCAAAAATATTTTACCGAGTAGTTCATTATCGGGTTACTGTCGGTAGTCGACCGACGTCAAGTAGTACCCTCTTGTTTCATTTTTACTTCCCTTTGATGAATAGACAAAGATACAAGTTTCAGGAAGGGGAAAGAGACCAATCCAAAAGTTGCTATGTAACATATAATGGGAAAAGTCAGATGGAGATGGGAGCGGGGGATTCGACCCGACGTCCTCTAGGTTGGTAACTTGGAGACGTGACCACCGCACACCGTTCTTCAAACTCGCACGTTACAACAGATGTCTATGTAGTTTCGACCTACCGAAATTGAAGCACGAATCACTTGATCTCAAATGTTTCAAAAGCAGGAACCACAGACCGATAGCGCAAAGGAGTAAGCCAATGTTGATATGGCGTAGCAGTGGAGACGGATTGATGATTTGATTGTTTGAGATAAGACTAAACTGTGCCTCGCTTGATGGCCTGTTTCTGTAAAGGGAGCGAGAGTGGTGTGCGAATTGTGACACCTTTTCTGTTGTGTTAAAGCCACTGAAAGGTACTCAATAATCCTTCGAGAAAGTCGCCTCGTCGTTTAACCTATGTACGTTGCGTTATATCACTACTAACAAGTAATTGTAAGTCTAATTGGAATTAAGCTGTCTTCTGTGCGCTCATCTGATTTTATAGCAACATACATCCTTCCAACTGCTAGGCAAATATCCGAACGAGTTAAAAAGTACTAACCAAGAGAAGTATTATGTTAGTACACGAATTATCAATGAATGATATCCAAGATCCACAATTTTTTCTCCAGAGGATTAACATTAGACAGACATAGTTATCATTCACGACACATTTATCCCATCACATTGACTATATCTCCCGCTCAACAGGTGCCGAAGTCGGAATCAATACCGGTCGTATACATGCACGCGGTCCGGTCGGAATCGAGGGTTTGCTCACCACCAAATGGGTTCTTCGTGGAAACGGTCAGGCGGTGAGTGATTTTAGCTCAGGAAAGCAAACGTACGTGCACGAAAAGATCCCGGTGGACACGCGGTGCTCATAACCTGCTGCTGCTGGCGTCCGCGTCCGCCTTCGCGCCCGCGCCCGTGCCCGCACATACACACAACACTCGATCTATGTTCGGCGATCGGTCATCGTGAACCTTTTGTGTTTTTTTCACTGATTTAATAATTTCTTTCTGTCCGTCCGTTCCCATTGACTCGTATGAAATAAAAAAGCAACTGAACCCAACCCGGTCTTTTCGATAATTAGTCAGACAATGATTGGTTTTCATTTGGTTGGGTTAAAGTCCGATTTTCATATTCGCTCTGTTGCACTGGCCGTTATGGACAGTAGACTGGGCTAGTGTCTTCTCCGATGAAATTCATCAGCGTTGGCAGTTTCGTGTCGCTAGAAGGACGCGTATGATTATGACCGAGATAAATTTCTTTGCGCATATGGTCGATCCCGGTTGCCTACGGATCCTATAGCTCTCTCAAGTTCCAATCTCGAAATGGAATGTACACGGTTTAAACCCAAACGGATAAGCAGCAATACTGATCAGATCCAGTTGGAAAATAGAAGCTAGTATGGCAACATTAGATGATTCGGCTGTATCTCCACCGGTGCTCGATGCAAAAAAATACAATGTTCATCCCGTCGGGTTGGAAATAGATCATAAAAATAAATCAACGTGAATGGTAGTTGTTTCTTTCTTCTCCGTTTAGCTTATAAGGCCACGTACCAATACTGCGCTTCCTCAGTCCCGTGTTGCACTCTCATAGTCTCCCCTGCACGTTAACGGGAAGAACGAAGTAAATGAATGCCAACGAATCAATTTTATTTCATCTTGCTCTCTTAAATACCTCTTCCTCTTAGCGTTTAGCATTCTTTGAAAGAATACGTGTCCAAGAACTGAATGTGATCAAACTGGTTTATACTTGCCGAAAATCGAGGACAAAACTCGGTGGGTGTTTGTGTGTGTGTGTTAGGGAGTGAGTATGCTCCGTGAAAATTACTTGATTATGTCTGGGATGACCAATCAGCATAAGGATAGGCGAGCTCAGGTGATTGGTCGGAACTGCCAATCAATTAAGACAGTTGACAACAATCCATTCAACCAACCGTTTGACGTATGCATTCCTCTGT